AAAATTACAGCAACATACCCCTTGTTGCTGAAAGTGGAACTCACTTTTAGGTGAGAATATGCACTATATGGTGATCGAAAAATTACAGAAACATACCCCTTGTTGCTGAAAGTGGAGCTCACTTTTAGGTGGAAATTTGTACTGTATAGCTTTAGGTGAGAATATGCACTATATGGTGATCGAAAAATTACAGCAACATACCCTTTGTTGTTGAAAGTGGAGCTCACTTTTAGGTGGAAATATGTACTGTATAGCTTTTAACAACATAGTTCTTGTGGGTGAAAATTTATATCACCGACAAAGACACCCATGTTGCTCATAAGGAGTTGCTAAAAGTGAGAATTTTAGTAGTGTTATATAAAAGGAAGAAAGCAAGAACTGAGAGATAGGGAGAAATGTCATCAACTGTATTTACATATAAAGTCTAAGATTGGGAGATGCATTGCTTACTTGAGGCAGAAAAGAGAAGAAGATCCATACAGGAATATTGTACCCCGGCTAATGCACCAGGCCACACATGGTTCCAACTCTCAAGCCCCTTCCTTTGACCTTTAATCTTACTTGTTATTGAGTGGTGTTGAATCCCCTGGGAGTAACTTAACAAGTACTCGCATAACTTGACACCGATTAAAACTTTAATATGCATCATTTTTTTGTTTGTAACACGCATAATTTCTTCTAGAAATTATATGATACAGCTATAAAAATAATTATATTTAAACTATAAAAAAAGGTCATTAGTAAATTTCAGTCTTTTTGGTCTTCCCATAGCCTTTCTATATTTGAGTTTGGAAAAGTATTATATCAAAAATTTATGACACTGCATGTCACCTCAAATCTAAGGTAACTTATGGCAATTGAGGACTAAACTACTTTTAGGCATCGCTAAGATTCAATCCAAGGTTGGTTAGAGTGACTTGAGATAGTTTTTCATAAATTATAAATAACGATTTGAAGGATTTTTTCAATTTGTGCCATTAACATGTAATTATACATCCTTCTGATATTAATGTGTATTGAAAATAATAAAAAAAAGTCATATAGATTATTTTAATTATAGATTATTTTAATTAGTCAAGTGATTAAATAAAGATCAACTTTGATTTTTTAAAGCCAATTAATATTAAAAAATTTGTCCTTAAACATGTGCCCTGCAAGTTTAAAAAAAAAAAAGAAGATAATTTGAAATCTATGTGTACAAGTGGAGATATGAAAAGTAAATGATGATATACTTATATTTGATCAAATTTAAAATAAATAATGTATTGGCTAAGCTCTTGTTGGTAGAGATTATAGTATGTCATGTATATACATGGTTGTGCTATTGTTAGGGCAAGGTCATATGGTAAAATTAAGGTCATTATGAAC